GCCAGTTTTCCCTTCACCATTTACTGAGTAGATTCTCCTCTCCCCATTGGTTGTTGTTGAAGGCTTTGTCAAAGATGAGTTGGTTGAGAAATTGAGGTTTTGCTTCTGGAATCTCTATCCTGTTCCATTGGTCTGTATGCCTGTTCTAGTACCAATTCCAGGTTGTTTTGATTACTGTAGCCCTATAGTAAAGTTTGAAGACTAGAAGTGTGACACCTTCTGCTTTGTTTTGTTTTTTTTTGTTTGTTTGTTTGTTTTGCTAAGGATTGTTTTGGTCACTTATCTTTCCATATGAATTTCTGTATTGTCATTTCCAGAACTGAGAACAATGGTGTTGGTAATTTAATGGGTATTGCGTTGAATCTGTAGATTGCCTTTGGTAGGAGGGACATTTAGACAATGTTGATTCTTCCTATCCATGAGCATGGAATATTTTTCCATTTGCTTGTGTCTTCTTGTATTTCTTTGAGCAGTGTTTTGTCATTTTCATTGTAAAGCTCTTTCACTTCTCTGGTTAGGAAGATGCCAAGATATTTCATTTTTTGTGTGTGTGGTTATTGTGAATGGGATAGTGCTTTTGATTTGTTTCTCTGCCTGCTTGTTCTTGGTGTATAAGAATGTGACTGTCCTTTGCACATTTATTTTGTACCCTAAGAATTTGCCAAAGATCTTTAACAGTGCAAGCAGGTTTTTGACAGATTCTCTTGGATTTTCAAGGTATAGGATCATACCATCAGCAAAGAGGGATAACTTGATTGCCTCTTTTCCTATTTGGGTACCCCTGATTTCCTTCTCTTGTCTAATTGCTCTAGCTTAGACTTCCAACACAATGTTGGAAGTGGGTGAGAGTGGGCAGCCTTGTCTTGTTTCAGTTTTCAGGGGAAATGTTTCCAGTTTCTCTCTGTTTAGCAATATGCTGCCTGCGGGTTTATCATAGATGGCACTTACTATTTTGAGGTATGTTCCTTCTATACCTAGGTGTTTAAGGGTTTTTACCAAGAAGGGGTACTGAATTTTATCAAAAGCTTTTTCTGCATCTAATGAGATAATCACGTGGTTCTTGTTTTTCCATCTGTTGATGTATTTAATTACATTTATGGTCTTGTGGATGTTGAACCAGCCCTGCATCCTGGGAATGAAGCCTACTTCATCATTGTGGATGATTTTTGAGGTGTGTTGTTGGATCCAATTTGTTAGAATCTTGTTGAGAATTTTTGCATCTATGTTCATTATGGATATTGGCCTGTAGTTTTCTTTTTTTGTTGGTTCTTCACCTGGTTTGGGTATCAGAGTGATGTTAGCTTCATAAAATGATTTGGCAAGAATTGCATCTTTCTCAATTGGTTGGAATACTTAAAACAAATTTTTTTTTTATTTGAAGACTCCCTGTTGCCCAGGTTAGAGTGAAGTGGTATGATCACAGCTCATTGCAGCCTCAACTTCCTGGAAGCAGGCGATCCTTCTGCTTCAGTCTCCTGAACAGCTGGAACTGTAGGCATGCACCACCATGCCTGGCTGATTTTTTATTTTAGAGACCAAGGGGCTATGTTGCCTTGGTTGGTCTTGAATTCCTAGGCTCAAGCAATCCTCTCTCCTCAGTATCCCAAAGTGCCAAGTCTCCCAAAGTGTTAGTTATAGGCATGTTTCAATTTTATAGTAATAACTCATTAAAAGACAAATGCCAGGCAATTAAATTTAACAGAGTTTATTTGGACAAAGGAATGATTGGTGAATTGAACAACATCCAAAACCAGTAAAGGTTTAGCGTGCTCTATCCAGCTATCCGGACGGGCTCTCTTTATAGAAAAAAAAAGGAAGTAACATAAAGAAATTGCCCAATTGGTTACAGATCAATGCTTGCCTTATTTGGACATGTCTGAGCAGTTTGAAGCCTGTCATTGGCTGAGAGCTTGGTTGCTCTGATTGGCCAAGATTTGGTTAGTAGTTACAAGAATGTACTCTCAGTTTGTTTACTAAATAAGGTTAAAGTTCACTGTGTAGAAAGGCCGTTTCAAACCAAATTTAATTTAGCAAGCCTAGAAAAGAAAAATCAAACACTTTTTATCTTACTATTCACAACTGCTCTGAAGGCTAGATTGGGGAGAAAACTCTTGAACCTTAGATAAAGTATTTCATATCTTTGGGTTTCATTTACTTTTTTCTGAAATAAAGAGGTTGGTCAAATCCCCAAAGTTAATTGTAGCTCCCAAATTTAATGATGATATATGTGATCAATACTTTACTGTGTGTCTTGAGTGGTCAGGAGAATAAGTAATTATAGGTAATAATTATTCAATGTTTACCATACACCTAATACTGCTCTGTGCTTTAAATATTAACTCATTTAATCTTCTTGACAATTTTCTGAGATATTAGTCTCACATTTCAGCTGAAGCACAGAGAATATCTTTTCCAAGTGAACAGCTAATGAATAGTGGCATTAAGGTTTAAACAGAGCTTACCCGCTTTTGAAGAGCTTACCCGCTCTTCATCACTACATATTGTTTGGCTATAAGGTGTTCACTTTCTAGCAGAGAAGATTAACAGACAAAATACTCCATAACTATAATATAAGGACTATGCAATTGTGATAAATCTTATAAAGCATTATGGGTTTAATGTAAATTATTGGTTATAGAATGCCTATTATGTGTCAGAAACTTTTAATATGTCTGTAAGTCATTTGGTTGTTTTTCTTTAAACAAGAAAAATGAGGCTTAGAGAAATTTCTTCTTAGAGTCACAAAAGTAAATAGTGTACAGGAGTTCCACCTCTTGCCACTACACTATATTATCCTTGCTACCCATTCAGTCAAAATGATCCTTAAAGGTCTTACGGAGAATGACATTTGACATGAACTCTGAAGAAATGTAGATTTTCTCAGGTGAAGAAGCTCAAAACAAATTAGGGGAAAGCATTCCCATAAGCAATGATTGTCCCATTTACCTGGAATAAAGTTCCTTGAAGGGGGAGGTAAGAGATAAGAGCTGAAAAGGCTGAGGTAAAGAGTTTGGGATGTCCAACTAAAAAGTTTGTAGTCAGTAAGTGTGAATCAATAAAAATGTTTGTGCTGAGGAACACATAAGTTTTTCAGGGAAGAGTTTAATCCAGGCCTGAAATCCAAAAGAAATTTCTTACGTGAGACCTTATCAGGGAACACCAAGACACCATGAGTGTCAAAGCAATTCCCAGAGTAGTTTTAATCCAACAAACATTCATGGAGCTCCAGGAATGGAAGTTTGTGCTAAATAATTCAACTTTAGAACAAAATTCAATGAAGGGAAATCTATGAGGCTAAATTAATATGATTTTTAAAATTTCAGAAAGGTAGGTTGATTGTTCTATCAACCATGATCCTTAGATATTTCCTTTCAGATGAATTTTTCCCTTGGAACCAAAGGTTTAAAATTCAATATTTTACACTGCAATGAGCATTTTGGCCTGTGGTATTCTCTGTGTATACCAAGTGCAGATTCATCCACATCTTTGAAAATCAGACATGCAGCTATTCCCAGTTGCCCATCACTACAAACGTTTAGCTAGACTATGAACGTTCAAAAGAAAAAATGCTCAAGAAAATGTGTGCCAAATTGGATGCAATGCCCTTTAAAGGAGAAATCAATGAGAAACACTGCCTTGTCTCAAAGCCTGGGTTAACAGATACCCTTTCTTCTCAAGACTGTTATTACATAACCCACTGGCATAGGAAGAAAGTGAATTTTTATAAACGCCTTCAGAAACTTAAAATATGAAAAAAGCAACTACTTATCATGTCAACTAAAGTAAGATAATTAACACTAAAATCAAAATTTGTAATCCACCTAAAAGATTCTACAAAGATCACTTAAAACTCAAACCTCTTTCAGCAGAAATAGAAAATCTCTTAGTCTATTATATTTCTATCCAATTTTCTGAATTTTAAGAATCTGTACATGACAGAGTTGCCCAATGTGTGCAAATATAAAAGTTTGCATTAGAACTAATTTTATTCTCCGCTTAAAATCATCAGTATGATTAAAAACACGTGCACTAGTTTTAAAAAGTTTAGCTTATTTGTCCCTCTTATTATCGGAGCTCGTAAAAACGGGCTAATTCAACATGTATTCAAACAACGAACAAGAGATTGCAGCAATGGCTGCAGAGATGGGCCCAAGAAGCTCGTGGCATTTGTTAAAAACTTGTGATTTTTCTGCGCCATCTTGTGGCCATAAAACCACCCCCACACCGGGCTCGGTGACTCAGCCTGTAATCAATCTCGCGCTTTGGGAGGCTGAGGTGCGTGGATTGCCCGAGCCCATGGGTTCGAGACCCGCCTGGGCAACTTGGCGAGACCACATCTCTATAATAAATAAAAAAAAAATTAGCCGGGCATGGTAGCGCGCGCCTGTAGTTCCAGCTACTTGGAAGGCTGAGGCAGAAGGATCGCCGGAGCCCAGCAGGTCGAGGCTTTGGTGGCCGGGAGCGGCCACTGCACTCCAGTTTGGGCGACAGAGTGCGACTCCAGCTCAAAAAAAAAAAAACCCACCACCCCCACACGTGAAAGTTAACCGCTTTTCCCATCGCTGGTCAAGCCTTGCAGCTCGCTGCATTGCAAGACTGGGCCTCTACCCAAATGTGCAGAAAACGGTGTCTTTGTTTAGAGTCAGTAATGGGAAACATCTTTCTGCCTACGTCCTCCTCCGTTTTCTTTATTCCTTAATTCCCCATGCTCGGTCCCACCCACTCCCTGTGCTCCGGGAGCCGTTCCCCGTTTGATCTCCTTTTCCAGTCGCGCCCCCTTTTCCTACGGCGGATCCTCCCCGGGTCGCCCTAGCAGCCAGCCTGCCCCCGTCCCGCCCACGCCTGCTTCGCGACCTCGCAATCCTCGCCGCAAGGCCTGCCCCTTCCCGCAGGAAGCCAATAGCGGCCTGACCCTGCCCCTTCAAGCCCCGCCCACCGCGTCTCCGGGCACCAGTGGAATTGGGGCCGCGGCGGGGCTGGAGCGGCTGATCCTTCTCTGGGCTGGTGCGAGCGCGCGTGCCGCGTCCCCACGGCCCGCCGTGCGGGAGCCATGGACTCGCAGGAGCTGAAGGTGAGCGGGTGGGCGAGTGGACCTCCGGGGGCTCCTTTGCGGGCAGGCGTTGTGTAGGGGGCATAAGAGAGTTCGGGTGGACTTGGCAAGGCCGCTGCTGCCCCGCTGTGCGTTTGCTGCCCTGGGTGATGGGGTGTCCCCGGCCCGGCAGTGTGGGCCTCAAGCCCACCCACCTGGTCGGCCTTCGTGGGCCCTGCTTGGGTACCTTGAGATCGGGGCGGCCCTGCCGGCGCGCTGCCTCCTGAATTGCCGTGAATATGCTTGTCCCCACCCTGCTTATTGTGTTTACTTTTTAACTTTTGCATCCTGTTTGCTAGGAAAACCCGAGCGCCATATGACCCTGCACCTCCAGGTGTGATTTTTGAGGGCTTACAGCAAAGTAATGTCAGCTCCTCCACTGGACAAAGGAACATAGACTATGTGAAACCAGTGAAAGACTTGAGACTTGAAAATGGAGGGGGTCGTTATTTTAGTGTGATAGTCTTCTCTGTTTATCTCTGTTTATCATACATTCAGCAAATATTAAGGACGATCCACTTAAGAAATGGTGATAATGAAACAGTTAAAGATACGAAAATAAAAGAACTTTTCGGATGATGGTCTTCTCTATTCATTTGTTCCCTGATTCATTCGTTCAGCAAATATTATGAAGGGCTTACTGTATGTCCACTAGAAGCTGAGATGGCAGTGAACAAAACTGAACAGTCCCTGCCTTCACAGATTTTACAGTCTAATTCTGGAGAAAAGCATAATTCAATTAATCGAACATTTATTGAATGCCTCCTATGTGCCTCGCACTATTCTAAGGACTAAAGATACTGCAGTAATAAAACAAAAAAATCTTTCTACTTTTGGAGCTTACACTTGAGTAGGAGGAGCCAGACAATAAGTAGGTAAATAAAATGTGTATCTTGGGAGTTGGTGATAAGTGGATGGAGGACAATTTGGCAGTGCAGGACATTAGGGAGTGCTGGTGTGTCTTTTGCTTTTTTGCTTGAGTTTTTACATTTTCCTTCTGTCGAGTCATTCCCACATCTCCTTAAATATTTTCATTCCTTAAATTTATCCTTTGCATTGCCACTCAAATGAACTCTTTAATAAAAACACTTCAATGCTAAAAATGTGGCTCCTCATCACTTAGACTTGGGAATAGAGCTATTAATATCAATCTCTTCACCCTGTCTTCCTCTCCAACTTTATCATCTTGTCTTACTTTAGCCTATGAAACAGGGAATGGGAAACTTTCTCTACAAAGGACCTGATATGACATATTTTAGGATCCATGGGCCAGAAGGTCTCTGACATCTACTCGGCCATTGTAGTTCAAAAGCAACCACAGAAAGTACTTAAAGGAATGAGCATGGCTGTGTCCCAAGAAAACTTTATGAACAGTGGAATTTGACTTGCATAAATTTTCACATTATGAAATAATTTTCTTTTTCCAATCATTTGAAAATGTAAGAACCATTCTCATTTCACTGGCTTTACAAAAAACTGGCAGCAAGTCAGATAAGGCCCTCAGGCTATAGTTTGCCAACCCCCGTTCTAGAATGTGGATGGCTTTTAATTGTCTCCACAACTCCCATCCCAGTGTACCACTGATGATTTTCTTATGCGTTGTTGTACCTCTGCCTGGCTTGCACCTCTGCCTGACTAACTCCTATACTTTTCTCAAGAATTATAAAAAGGAAATGGGACAAATGTGTATATGCGAGGAGAGAGAATGAGAGGTGTTGCAGTTCAAGAGTCAGCTTTAAATCCTCCCCAAGAATCTTTAATTTTACTCTTCTGTCCTCCCTTCACCCCCCTCCGTCAGTTTTCAAAGCTTTCTAAATGTTATTATGCAAAGCAATTTGGAAGCTCTTTTCTTTCATTTACTATATTTATATTGCTATATTATGTTTAGATTATTTACTACATTGTCTTTCGATTACAATGCCATCTAAAAAATGTAAGCTTTTCTGGGGTAGCAACCATGTCTTATTCATCTTTATATTTATAGTACCTAGCTCAGCACCTTGTACTAGTAGTCAGTCGATAAATGTCTGTTGGACTGAACAACTTAACAAACCAAGGTAGTGGCACTAGGTATGTTTAGTGGGAGATAGATTAGAGAAACAGAAGAACCTACTGACTAATTAGGGGGACTGGGCAAATGGAAAGGGAGGAATCCACAACTCAGTTTTTGGCTAGGGTGACAGGTGGAAAATGGTAATATGAATCTGGAACTTAGATGAGAGGTCTTGGCGAGACACATTTTATTTCATAGGGTTCAGAGGAACTTTTTTTTTTCAGAATAGGACTTTTATGTTATATCTTAGTTAATTCTTACAGCAGCCTATACATTTGCACTACAATCAGTGTTTGATAAAGGAGCAGACTGAGGTATTATAAGATGGACCAGAGATTTGAAACCAGGTCTTTTCACTTTATAATCCATAACCTTTGTATGATACCATGCCATTGCCTTTCAGCGGGATTATAGTTGCTAGGTGATACTACATGCTGTACAGAAGTCAAGTCAGATGATATTGACAATGTCCTTAGTTGTGGCAAAGTAAGAGGTCATTTGCGACCTTAAGGAGTAGGGCATTGGTGGAAAACTGTACTTTGCTTAGGTGTGCTATGGGGGGTCTGGGAGATGGGCTATAGATTACATTTTCAAGAAACATGGCTAAGAAGGTGGATAGAGAGCAGTAATCACAAGGAGGGAAGCAGAGTAGACGTTACAGAGAACATTTACCCAACTGACCTAGAGAAGTACAGAAGTACTTAGACTGTAGCCCTCCAGAAATTAGAGACTATAAAACAGAACTGTCTAGACACCTTCCGATTCCAGCCCTGTCACTTAGTGCTTCATTCGTATTTCTCTTGCTGAACAAGCTATAGAGTCGTAGGCAGGTATGGGATTGTTCAAATTGATTTTTGGTGAATCAGGTGTATTATAGTGATGGTGAAAAAGTAGCTTCCGTCTTTGATCTTTGATTAAGTCAGTTACCAAACCTTAGACATGACCCTGAGAAAAATGGTGTAAAGCACAGACCCAATTAATCAGAACTCAGTAAGTCCTGATAGTAGTTTTCTGTTTTGTAAATCAAAGTAATATAATTTCGAAAAGCTAAAAGACAGTAATTTCCATTGAAAAATAGCACAGATCATTTATTCTTACTGATGATTATTTGGTGCAAATCTCACATATAAAACGGTAACAGTTGACAATAAATGGCTTGAATTTAATTTTTCAGTACTTTGTAATGCTATAGTAACAAAATACCAAATTTTTTTTTTTTTCAAGAAACCTATGGTCTGGCAACGGAAGCCTCTTGCCTTTCTAAAAAAAATTCTGGGCCAGGTATGGTGATTCATGCCTGTAATCCCACCACCTTGGGAGGGTGAGGAGGGAGGATTGCTTGAGCCCAGAAGTTCGAGACCATCCTGGGCAACATAGCATGACTCCATCTTTACCAAAAATAAATTTAATAAGTAGCCAGGAGTGATGGCACACACCTGTAGTCCTCTACTGGGGAGGCTAAGGTGGAAAGACCACCTGTACCCAGGAGTTTGAGGCTGCAGTGAGCTGTGATTGTGCCACTGAACTCTAGCCAGGGCAATAGAGTGAGACTGGACTAAAAAAAAAAAAAAAAAAAGTGTTTTTTATGTGATTTTCTCTTTTCTAAAAACTTTAAGAAAATGTGGGCAAAAAAAAAAAAGATGAAAGTAGCCTGATTTCAGTATACTTAACAGCAAATTTAGGAAAAAAAAGATTGAACTTATTAGAAAACATTGAATTATTTAATTAATTTTGTGTTCATCGTGTCCTGCAATTCTTAGTATTGAGTACTAGACATTAATAGTATTTATAGGAACTTGGAAGAAAAAGATTGTTACCTAAGGTTTTTTTTGTTTTTGTTTTTGTTTTTTGAGTTGGAGTCTCACTCTGTCGCCCAGACTGGAGTGCAGTGGCCGCTCCCGGCTACCGCAGCCTCGACCTGCTGGGGCTTCAGCGATCCTTCCGCCTCAGCCTTCCAAGGAGCTGGAACTACAGGCGCGTGCTACCACCCCCGGCTAATTTTTTTTGATTCATTATAGAGATGAGGTCTCACCAAGTTGCCCAGGTGGGTCTCGAACCCGTGGGCTCAGGCAATCCAGTCACCTTGTTATCTAAGTTTTAGATTATTTCACATTTTAGATTAATAAAAAGGTTGTTACCTAAGTTTTAGACTATTTCACATTTTAGGTTAATATCTACTTCTTGCAATATTTTAAAACACCCAGAATCCCCTCATAACATCTTGTCATTATTTCTTTATAGACTTTGATTAATTACTATTGTCAAGAGAGGTATTTTCATCATGTATTACTTGTTGCCAGTGAAGGAATGAAGAGGTATGGCAGTGACCCAGTCTTCAGGTTTTATTATGCCTATGGTACATTAATGGAAGGTGGGTGCTAATTATTATTATCCATCGCTTCAAAATTCTTGCTTTGCACTAAGAACAATTTTTTATGTTTATAATCTTGATTTTCAGGTAAAGCTCAAGAAGCTCTTCGAGAATTTGAGGCTATTAAAAATAAACAAGAAGTATCACTTTGTTCTCTAATTGCACTGATATTCGCCCATAAAATGAGTCCTGATCCAGGTATAGTATTTCAATATAGTGCTTAGGACAATTTTTTCTATTTAATTCATTTTGATTCTTCTTAATTGCCAAACCATTCAGTCTGACCATACTGTATTATATATTGCCTGTATGTACTGGTTTTATTTTTGAGTTGGAGTCTCACTCTGTCGCCTAGGCTGGAGCGCAGTGACAAACTCACGGCCACCCCAGCGTTGACCTGCTGGGCTCTGGCAAATGTACTGTTTATATCGTATGTGTTTTATCTTCTTGACAAGAACATAAATTCATCAAGCACAAGAAACCTGTCTTGTACTACTTTCATATTCATTTTATGCTATGGTAGAGGTTTCGTTAGTACATAAGGATTGTTTGAGTTAGCTTAAAGGTACATGTATATTAGCAATTGTTGAACAAAAAAAGGACAGCTAAAAATCAGTACTATGCATACATAAATTGCTCTCAAGCAACTTATGTGCAAATATATAGTTTATTTCCTCTATATATTAAACTTCTTGAGGGTCTTTCCATCTGTGATAGGGGCTAGCTCTTGGAAGATAGTCAAAACATTTTTATGGAGTAGTAGGTTGGGAAAAAAATTATAGAAGGAACTCTTTATGTATAAACCAGGAGTTAAAGTTGTGTGGATTGTCTTAGTGTATGCTTTGCTTAATGGCTGAGACAGAAGAACATCCAAATTATAGATAATAAAGATATGGCATTATATTCTTGTACACATATTCAGTAACAGCTAATAGGGTTGTTAAAAATAGGTCCTGTTTCAAATAATTAGGTAAAAACCAAATGTCGTAGCATAGCTTCTTGAATGTTAGAAAAGACTTTTTTAAAGCAAAGTATCACATGCCTCCTTCACTCCACATATACACACAGAAATCAAGAAAAAGTTATTTAAAATATTATGTTTAGCAAGTGAACAAATTTAATAATTATGCTTTCGTTAAGGAACTGTGCTATATATAGCTAGAAGATACAAAAGAATTGTAATAAGTGATCCATGACATCAAGTTTGTAATCAAATTGAGAAAACAAATGTAAAAATCACAAAGATTGAATTATAGTGTTACTATAAAATTATAAAAATATACAACAAATAGTTCCCTAATTAATTGAAATTGATATGTACTATTAATCCATATGAGTAGACTAGAAAGGGTTTGTGAAAGATTGGAACTTACTCTGATCTTTGAATGACAGGTAGAATTTGAATATGAAAAGTAGTGACCAGACAGGAGAAGGGCTGGGCAAATTCATGGAAGTGGTTCAGGAGTAGGCTTTTCTGTGGATCCTTTTTCTCTGTGGGAGTATGTTTACCTAGAGCAGAAAAATTGCATGGGAGATTTGTAGTCAGTAAATCTAAATAAAAGAAGTGAGTATAAAATATTTTCTTTCTAGAATCAGGTTTTTATTTCATTGATTATTCCTACCAGTACTGATTCTGTTGGAAAATGTGATTTCCAGACACTAAAAGATGGTGGCAGAAATATTGTTTGGAGATACCTGAGTGCTAACCCTGCTTTCCACCATGGTGGATACTGAATGGATTTGAGCTGTAGTAGGGACCCAGTTGTCTGTAAATACTGCTTAGGAAAGGCCTACCTTGTTAGTGTACATTCTTCCTGAATGGTGATGTAGCCCTGGATATATAAAGGCTTGAGCTGACTTTGTGCAGACAGTGTCATGGCTAACTGATACCCCATTAGGGACTTGATGGAAATCTAGGCTGAAAAGTGTGATATCTGCTCTTGTCCTGATGACTTATTTTGTGTTTCTGTATCATGGCTATTTAATGAACACTTTTGAAGAGGTACAGGGAGCAGCAGGGAGAGAAGAAAAGGGTCTTCTTGCCAAGAAGCCTATAGCCCTACAGAAACATTATTGTTTCCTTAACTCGTGAAGTTGTAACTTCACATTTAAATTTATGTTATTAGGGTTGAAGTCAGAGTTGTTAGAATCACAGCTCTTAACTTTGGCATTTCTTCTTCCTTATTGCCTAACTGATCCTGATTCCATTCAGGATTTGAGTTTGGTTGATGTTTGTATCCTGAGAAGATCCTCATACATAATTGATTTAACATAAGTTATAGGGTTATCCATTAAAGGGAGCATACATTGTTAAACTATGTAAGTAATAGTAATTATGCTACCTTCACTGGCTAGTAACAGTGGCATGGCATGCTTATATATTTTAGAGTTGGATCTGAGAGCTATTTTGAGTACTAGTACTGGACCAGTCCCTAATAATTGCATCATTTTAGAATAATCACACATTTTTACTTGTCTTATTTTTAAAATATACTGGCATATGTAACCTTTCTATTTGGGGAATGATATAAACTATACAGCTATACTGTGCATTGCAGTCACCATTAACTACATGCGGCTTTTGAGCACTTGAGATGAAGCTAGTTTGACTGAGGAACTGAATTTTAATTTTAATTTAATTCTAGTTAATTTACTTTTTAAATTTAAAACTAACACTTGATTCAGTTATTAGAAAATTTGAATTTGGAATAACTTGAGTCTATGAATCTGTTGAATCTATACTTCAGCTATAAATTTTCCTCAGAAATAATTGATTTCTGAGGAAAATTTAGCATCTTGATTGAGATGTGCTGTAAGTGTAAAATACACACCAGATTTCAAAAAGTTAATAAGAAAAAAATGCCAAGTATCTCATTTATTTTTATATCAATTATGCATTGAAATGATATTTTGGATATATTGGGTTAAACAAAACATTAATATTAACTTTCCTTGCTCTAATTTCTTTGATGAGGCTACTAGAAAATTTTAAATTATATATGAGGCTTGTATTTTATTTCTATCGGATAATACAAAAAAAGAACAAAATTCTCTGCCCTGTTACTCATCTAACCTATTATAAATTCTTGATCTAGAATTTAATTTTCATTTAATCTTGTTTTCTCCTCCCAGATAGGGAAGCTATTCTGGAATCAGATGCCAGAGTGAAGGAACTGCGTAAAGGAGCGGGAGAGAAAGCTTTATACCATGCAGGCTTATTTTTATGGCACCTTGGACGTCATGATAAGGCAAAAGAATATATTGACAGAATGATCAAGATGTCAGATGGTAGCAAAGAGGTGGCTGTTTTTCTGATTTTGAAATAGTAACATTAAAAGAAGTGTATGTCATTGATATATTTAGTAGTGTGTCAGTCAGTTCTTTGTTATTGTTCACTTGTTCTCACTTTGTAAATAATAGCGTTATTTTTAACATTATATGGTAAAATAGGGATTCTCTAAGATTATTTTTATGCTGTTAACTCTTATAAAGATCACTCCCTGTTTCCTTTCTTCCTCCTTCTCTTTACCTTTTCCTCCTTCTCCTTCTTTTCCTCCCCATCTCCTTCCTTCCTCCTTTCTCTCCTTATTGAACAGCTCTACACACAAGACACCATTATTTATACTGTTAATACTGCAAAGATAAGGAATACATAAACTTTACTTTAATGAATGAATCATCTAGTAGTGGCATAAAGCACCTACTCAGCTAATATTGTGAGAAGAGTGATAAAGAGAATGAAAGATGTGATTAAAGTGTGTAAGGAATTAATAGCTGGCATTTATTGCTTGCTGACTTTGTGCCAGGCAGTATTTTAAATTAAGGAGAGATCATATCCCCAAGTGTTAGGAGAATGAGGAAGAATTTTTTGCGGGAAGTAGTATTTGAGCTAAAACCTAAAAGATGGATACAGTTTTAACAGACAAGGATTATGGAAAAGGGAAGTGGGAAGTAATAGATGGAAATGAGATGTTGATTCTGGGTACATAAAAATCTTACATTTGATGGACCACAGGATGCATAAATGATGAGAATGGAAGAAAAACTTGGAGCGGTAGACTAGGACAAACTGAAATATCTTGACTGCTTGGTACAAATATTTGCATCTAATTTGATAGGCATTGAGGGACCATTGAAGATTTTTAATCATGATAGTGATATTATTAGAGTACAAATTCAGAAAATTAACTTAATGATTTGTAAAATAAACTGGCTTGGGGGAAATCTAGAATGTGGCAAAAAGAAAAAGGTAGTACTTTCTGGTAGAAGGTGTTGAAGGACTGCAGAAAAATATTGTCCAGTGAGTACAAAGGATTTGTAAATATCATAGAACTTGTCAAATGATAATAAATAGTGGGGGAAAATAACAAGGTGTCACACATCAGGATATCTTTGAGGCTTTCAGCCTAGATAATTCAGATACCAGTTAACATAAGTAGAGAATATGCTGGGAGGAAAAGCTAGTCTTGGAGGGAGTTAAGACACGCTGTATTTCAGGTGCTGGAAGAAGAGTAAGACAGAAGTAGCAGATGAACTTTTGGAAAAAGAAGAGAAACTTTAGAAGAAGCGTTAGGCTGGAAATGTATAGGTCGAGAACATCTACACAGAGACGGTAGTTGAAACCATTCAAATAATAACAGTGATCTAGTGCATGGATGTAGCCTTGGTTCAGATTCTTATCTGTATTTTCAAGTGAAATACAGGGAGGTAAATATAATCTTAGTTAAAAGTCTATAAATTTTTAATGGAAGAGCATATTTCATAATTTTTTATTTTACTTCATAAAAATAATCAGTTTCCTTCTTCTTATATATCTTATATTATACAACTCATTGGCCCACCAATATGTGTTATGATCAAATTCTTCATAATTCTCAAATTCTTCAGTTTTTAACTTCTCAGGCCTTTCATTTTAAATTAACTGGACTAGTCACAGAGGTTAAAAAGATGGTTGCCAAGCTATCTGACTCTTTAAGATGTGTGAAGCAAGACATCTTCTGTTACCCCATCTTTGTTTATTTGGGCTGATTGCCCAAAAAGAAGCAACAAATTCTTACTTACAAATCAAAGTGCATGTTGAACAGTTATATATTAATAGTAAATTACTAGCAGAGTCTTGGAGAATATTGGGTTTTAGCGCTAATAGAATATTTGATAAGCTTTGTAATGTTAATATTGAACCCAGTAATCTTAAAGGCTGAAATTCACAGTATAATTTTTAAGGCTCTAGGCTGACAGGGGTTCTGAAGTGATTTTACTACAAAGAATTGTATTGTTCTTAACATTATTTGAAAAAGTCCTTTTTTTTGTTGCTAATTACCAAATAATGACATGAGACTTACCTCTTTCATTAACATTTATTTTCTTAATTTCTTGAAAAAAAAAGTTATGATTAGAATTACTCATTTACAGGGACAAGTTTTGAAAGCATGGCTGGATATTACAAGAGGAAAAGACTCTTCTACAAAAAAAGCACTAAGGTATTTTGAAGAGGGATTGCAAGATAGAAATGACACTTTTGCTTTGCTGGGTAAGGTAAGTTGGAGTTCGTGCAAATAAATAATGTTTCAAAATTTATTCATAAGATATTTGAAACTGGCAAAACTAAGTAGCTCAAAAAGATAATTTTCACAATACTTTTGTCAGCTCTCAACTGTAAGAGGTGCTTGAGTTTGTTTAGGACAATGAACAATAAACTAGAGAAATGTATTTCCTACTAAAGTTCTTGAATTTTGGATCAGTATTAATTATTTTTGTTGCTGCTTTTGGTTCATGCATTTTTTCCTCATTTATTGTGTGTCTCCTATATGCAAGGCATCACTCTAGATACTAGGAAACCATGAGCAAAAGAAAACCTCTTGATTTTATGAAGCTTACATTCTATTGGTGGAGATAGACAATAAACAACAAGAGTAAATTATATAGTATGTAAGAAAGTGATAAGTGCAATGGAAAAGAAATAAAGCAGGGAAAGGGGGAGAAGGAGAACTGGGGCATGAATTTGCAATTTTAAGGAGGTGGTTAGAGAAAGTGACATTGAGCAAAGACATATAGGAGATGAGGGTTAAAGCCCTGCAGGCATCTGGGGAAAAGCTTTTCAAGTAGAGGAGGTAACAAATTCAGATACCCTAAGGCATAATCAGGGCGAGCAAGGAGCCCTGGGGCTGAAGTAGAAGGCGTGAAGAGAGTAGAGGTGAAGGCCAGAAGAAGGAAAGTGGTAAGAGGGTGATGAGGGAGAACTATTCTGTAAGGCCTTTGGCTTTTACTTTAAATTAGAAAAATAGGCAGCCAGTAAACAGTTGTGAGCAGAGAAGTAGCATGATCAGACATACATTGTGAGGGATGAGCATTCGGCAGAGTCATTAGAAATCATAGGTGAGTGGAAATACTAGTAGGACCCTTTCTTTAATCACCATTGATGCCTTCTGAATGCCTTAGAATTTTTTTTTTGATTCAGTGAAGAAATTTAATTTTTATGTTGAGAACAATAGTGCATTAGATAAGCAATAATTTGGGGGCATAATAAAGAGGATTAATGTCTTGGTTATTGTTAATGTCCCCACATTGCTCTTTCTGTCAATTTGTATGGGTAGTGAGCCTGTTCCGATTTGCCAAACTACTGTTCGGGCCCATATACCTCAAATTTTAACATAAATGATGTTACTATTTAAATTGGGCATTTGGCAAGTTTTAAAAAAGTTTTTTTTGATCATTCTTCCTTCTTTTAAAGAAAAGCTAATTGATAGTCTTCTGGGATACAGCTATTCTAGGTGTTAATATAAACAACTTAGGAGGGATTTACCTTTTTTTCTCCAATCCTCAAGATTGGTTTGCATTCTTTACATTCAGTTGTGTATTTATTTTTCATTTAATTCAGCAGAAGAGCTGTATTAGTCTAATTTCAACTAGGAATGATATGAAGCAAATGCATAGCAAATTTAGTTTAGTTTAGTATGGCACTTTATATTCATATAGGAGGTGATGGTCTAAGGAAGAATATTAAATGTGGACACAGGTTTTTGTAGCATGATTTTGTTATTGAAGTACCAGCTTTTTTGGGTAAATTCTAATTGCAAATGTAATTTGAAAACATTATCCACATTAATCTCTTTTCTGTTGTCAGTTATTTAGAAACTTAAATACTCTTAAACTGTTTTCAGGTACGTGTTGTAGTTCTACTATACATCTATAAAATGAGCTGGATGCTCATTTTTAATTGTGACATACCAGGACTAAATTTATATCTAAAGGAAATCCAGATGCAAATTTAAAAGAAAAAGAATATGTGATAAATGTGCCTCATTATCTAACTGTATTAGCTAACTATACTTGTAGCTTTATTTTTTTCTGGTTATGGAAGTAATATGTAGATGTAGTAAAAACATTTTTTCAAAAAATATAGTAATATCTGAATGAGAAAATAAACATCACCACTGGATTTAACTGGTTAGACTATTATACATGATATATTTTTATGTAGGTAAATATAGATCTACAAATTTATATAACCACTTTTAATAATTACATAAAAATTTATTAAAGAGATATATGATAGTTTAACTACTCCTCTGTGTACATTTTGGGTTATTCTGTTTTGGTTTTTTTTCTCTGTTGTATCTAAACAATTCTGCCATAAATGTCATCTGTATGCTTCTTTGTGATCTTCTCTAGTTAGTCTCTTAAGATAATTCCTAGAAGTAAAAGTGTTGAAGTACAGGGATTTGTTTGTACTTTATTTTGCTTGTTCTTTGAAACTCTCTTCTTTAACCTAAAAGTAATTTAAAAAAATCATAGAAGTTGCAAAATTTCTTAAATTTTAGAGGCTACTTGCAAATATCCTGGAAATATTTTAATCTAAAAAGATAAATATTTTTATAAATCAAAACATTCTTCTTTATGGCATATCTAGGAACTTTTAAAAAATGTTATTCTTTTATCATGTTTCCAGATATTTAAATGTAAATTTTAAAACAAAATGCTATAAAATTTGTTTTTCTGTGATATTTAAATATTTTGTTTTGATAAAAACTTTTTTTTGTTTTTTTCTCATTAAAAATGTTAACTGGTTGGGCATGGTGCCTCACATCCCAGAACTTTAAGAGGCTGAGCTAGGAGAATTGCTTGAGTACAGGAGTTCAAGACCCAGCCTGGAAAACATATCAAGTCCTTGTCTCTACAAAAAAATTTAAAAATTGGCTATGCATGGTAGCATGCACTTATACTCCCAACTACTTGGGAGACTGAGGCAGAAGGATTGCTTGAGCCCATGAGGTTTAGGCTGCAGTGAGCCATGGTCATGCCACTTCACTCCAGCTTGGGTGACATAGTGAGACCCTGATTCAAAAAAAAGTGATAACTGCCCTTACAGAAAAGTCAGAAAATATTAAACACTAGTTTTCTATCTATGCTAAGTTATGAGAACCTTGATATATAATATCACTTTTTTTTTTTTCTCCCATTAGGCACAGTGTCTTGAGATGCGCCAGAATTATTCAGGTGCCCTGGAGACTCTGAACCAAATAATTGTGAACTTTCCAAACTTCTTTCCTGCTTTTATAAAGAAAATGAAATTGCAACTAACCTTGCAGGATTGGGACCAGACAGTTGAGACATCTCAAAGGTTAAGTAAAAAAAAAAAAAAAAAAATGGCATGTCTTTTTTGGATCTGGTTATAATTTTGAAAAAAAGGAAAATATATGTGTATTTTTTTGTCATTAGATTGTTTTAATTTAATTTTTCCAAATAGTATAGAATCAGTAAACATAAATTATATTGCTTTTAAAAACAGAGTTTGTTGATTTGCATAAATATTTGATTACCTTTTCTAAGACAGACAGTCTTTTTAGTCCAATGGAAAAATATCCTGCCCTCATGAAACTTATACTCAAGTGAAAGGAGCCATATACTAAGCAGATCAAGTAAATAACTTATGTAGTATGTCAGAAAGTAAAAGTGCTATGAAGAAAAGATAAAGTAGGAAGGAGATATATGGGGTATTGAGGGGTTTCATTCTATTGGGTAGTCAAAAGTCTCACTGAGAGGATGGCATTTGAGCAAAGACCTGAAGAAGGTAAGGGGTAAGCTATGCAGATATCTGAGAGAACACATTACAGAAAGAAGGAAAAGCAAATTCAAAGACCTTGAGGCAGGAGTTTGTACATGTCATATGTTTGAGGAGGGTTTTAAGCAAAGGAGTGTGATGATCTGAATTTTATATATATATATATATATATATATATATATTTATAATCAATATTTTTTATTATGATATTGTGGGGTACAGTTAAGGGTTAGGTATACAAATATAGTTCGTTCAGGCATATTGATAAGAGGTGTCTCCCCGTCCCCAGACAGATATTTACTACCATTAATCCCATCTCCCTCCCCCTCCATAGTTTCCCACCACCGTCAGTCATTTTCTTATGGTATTACGTTGGATGATCAAGGTGCACTATATGAGTGAGAACGTGTGATACTCAGATTTTGTTTCTGTGAAAGCTCACTCAGTATTATAGACGCTAGTTCCATCCAGGTGGCTGCGAAATTCATGATTTTGTTCTTTTTTATGGCTGTGTAGTATTCCATTGTGTATATGTACCCCATTTTTTTAA